GTGGTGTGCCTCGTGATTTTTTTCATGAAAAAAGTGTGCCTTTGCACAAAAAAGGTTGAAAAACACTGTTCTATAGCATGTAAAGAAGGATGTTGTATTTGTTTTAAATTAATTTTTTAAAAAAAACTATTATAAAAAAAAACTACCTGTACTATTTTCCAACAAATATCCTCACTCCTGAATCTTCGAAGGATGTTTCCAGAAAGGAAACCAAAAACAAACCCACAAAAAGGCTTTAATCCAGGGGTGAAATCCGGCAGGTTCTGACAGGTTCTGGAGAACTGGTAATGGAAATTTTGAGTAGTTTGGAGAACCAGCAGTCGCCTTCCCCTGCCAAGCCCACCAAGCCACACCATGTCCACCAAGCTACTCACACAGAACCAGTAGTAAAAAAAAAATTGAATTTCACCACTGCTTTAATCCCATAGTTGTGGCTGCATTTTTATTTTTCTAGATACTCCAGATATGTTGCAACAGCTGCTTATCCAAGAAATAAGTTTTATTTATTAAGTGTATGGGCCATCCATCTCACTATTATAGTCACCGTGGGAGGCCTGCAAAATGATTAGAGGATGGTACAGTATGTTATACGCATCTTCCTAGAATTTATTTAACAGCCTCTCTGCCGACAGACCTGAGCGGATATCGTGAAATTAAAAAAAGAGAAGGTGCAGGGAAGTAGTTATACACTTTAACACTTTTGTCAGATGCCAGATTTGCAATTTCTGACAATAATTTTGTCTTCAGGTAAGCAGCAAAGCCAGTTCGTAATGAATCAGTCCTGCCCCTCTAGTGTTTTTCAACCTTTGCAACATTAAAACATTTGGGCTTCAACTGCCGGGAATCCCCACAAAACATGCTGGCTGGGGAATTCTGTGAGTTGAAGTCCGTACATTTCAGAGCAAAGATGGCTAATCTTTTTTGGGTTGGAGTGCCCAAAATGCAATGCGTACATGTGTCCCGCCCCCTGCACATGCACACGTGAGCCCCCTATAAGTGCCCTCCCCCCCATGCATCTGCACACAACACCCCCACATGCACCCCTCCCCCCACATGCGCACATGACCCACACAGGTGCCTTTCCCCACACATGCGCACGTGACCAGCACACGGCCTGCCCCCCCGCGCATGCGTGGCAGAGACACAACATTAGCAGTCAGCGGAGGGCGGCGTGCATGTGTAGCAGAGCTGAACTGAGCCAACGGCTCGTGTGTCATCAGAGAGGGCGCTGCGTGCCACCTCTGGCACATGTGTCATATGTTAGTCATCACAGCCTTAGAGCTGACAAGGCTGAGAAGCATTGCTCTAAGGGAAATAACTAATAAAAAATAACTTCTTGGAATCAAGCTCAGTTCTGATGATTTCATGGACCCATCACAGCTACCCTTACATGGTGAGCCACTGTCTTCTTCAGAGATGTAGTTTCAGTTTCTCCACTTAGGAATCTCCTGCAGATCTCCTAAACCTGACTTTGCAACCTGCTGAGATGACCTGAACTTCCAACTTCTAACCTGCTTTGTGCACTCTGTCTCCACGACTGGGCCCAGGTCTTCAGAGACATCATCACTATCACTTTCCACACGAGCCATCGGAACACAGATAAACACACTGGGATTGGAGATGAAGTCATCTTGATTGTTCTTCTCGCTCACTCGGGAGCTGCTGTGACTTTCTTTGGAATTATGGCCATCGCTTCTCAGTTCCACCTCACTTTTCTCCAAGTCACATTTTACTTTCTTGGTGGCTGCTTTCCTTTTCCACCCCAGAGCTCGGAGGAAAATGGTCAGGGTGGCCTGTTTTGCAACATGGAGCCCTCTGTGGATCCTAGCAAAGGCAATCTTCAAGTTGTTGGTCTCCCTGTCCTCTTCTGGGAGCGATTTCAGGTTATCGGTACTGAAGGAATTCAGCAGAAGGGCGATGAACAAATTGAGAACCTCAGAGGAAGGAGAAAGCAAAAAGTTAATGGATGCAACTTATTATTAGATGAAGAGGGGGGGATGGATGGATGGATGACAGATTAGATAGATAAATAGATTAGATAGATAGATAGATAGATAGATAGATAGATAGATAGATAGATAGATAGATAGATAGATAGATAATTATTGATAGACAATAGATGATAGATATAGACAGATGATTGATAGATTAGATAGATGGATGGATGGATGGATGGATGAGATAGATAGATAGATAGATAGATAGATAGATAGATAGATAGATAGATAGATAGATAGATAGATAGATAGA